TGAATGCGCAGGAAGCCATGGTCGAAGGAGAACGAAGATGGAAGAGAGAGAGAGAAACGGGAATAACAGAAAGATATTTTCAGCACATAAAAATCAATCCAAAAAACTGTTGCACAGGGCTATTTATATAACATGAGATAAAAATAGAAAAAGGAAAAAATAATAATAAAAATGAATACTATATATCACCAACACCCCCCTCAAGTTGGAGGGTGGATGAACCCCCAACTTGGAAAGCAACCGATGATGAGTAGGCCCTGGTAAACTTTTGGTGAAAATGTCTACAAGCTGAGAATCAGTAGAGACATGAACAAGGTTGATGAGACCATCCTTTAACTTGTCACGAACGAAATGGCAGTCAATTTCGATGTGTTTCGTTTGCTCATGGAAGACGGGATTGGTGGCTATATAGATGGCTGCCTTGCTGTCACACTTAACTGGTATGGGAAGAATGTTGGGAACATCGAAGTCAGAGAACAACCTAGAGAGCCAAGCAAGTTCAGCAGTCACACGCCGTAGGGATCTATACTCAGCTTCTGCAGAGCTAGGTGAGACAATTGGCTGTTTCTTGGCCTTCCATGAAATAGGGCTACCTCCTAGCATGACAAAGTATCCACTAACTGAGCGACGAGAGGTGGGACATGTTGCCCAATCTGAGTCACAATAAGCTTCAAGGGTGAAATCTGGGGAATCATTAAGGAATAAGCCTTGTGTGGGACTCCCTTTCAGGTAACGAAGTGTGTGAATGGCAGCCTCCCAATGTGGTTGCCTGGGATCTTGCATAAACTGGCTGAGAAGTTGGACAGCATAGGACAAATCTGGTCGCGTGTGAGTGAGGAAGTTGAGTTTGCCTATAAGACTTCTATAGGAAATTGGATCTTGTAAGAGGAGTCCAGTAGATGGGAAGAGTTTTAAGTTGGATGGTAAAGGGCAAGTAGTGGGAGGACCAAGGTCACAATGAAACTCCTTGAGTAAATCAGAAGTAAACTTTTGTTGTGTGATGATGATTCCCTGAGGTTTGTATAGAATTTCCAGACCAAGGAAATAGCTCAAAGTACCAAGATCTTTTATTTTGAATTGAGAGTCCAAATGGTGTTTGATTTCAGCAATCTCTGCGGGATTATTTCCAGTAACTATTATGTCATCCACATAAACAGCAAGATGAACCACAGTAGAATCCACGCGCTTGGTGAACAGAGAGTAATCATTTTTTGAGATACTATAACCTTTGGATCTTAAAACACTGGAAAGTTTAGCATACCACTGCCTTGAAGCTTGCTTGAGGCCATAAAGTGATTTCTGCAGTTTCAACACTTTAGTGGGTTCAGAGAGGATGAAGCCTAGAGGGGGCTTCATGTAAATTTCCTCATGAAGGTCTCCATGAAGAAATGCGTTGTTAACATCAAGTTGAAACAAGGGCCATCCTTTCTTAACTGTTGTAGCCAACATAGCACGCACAGTAGTCATTTTGACCACAGGAGAAAAAGTTTCATGGTAATCAATCCCAGCCTTCTGTGTACATCCTCTTATGACCAAGCGTGCTTTATGCCTTTCTAATGTCCCATCTGATCTGTATTTCAGTTTGTAGACCCACTTACTTCTTATAGGCTTCTTCCCCTTGGGTAAATCAGAAAGTATCCAAGTACCCGTATTTTCAAGGGCTTCCAATTCTTTTGACATTGCTTCTACCCAAGCAGGATCAACTTTAGCTTCTTCATATGATCTAGGTTCGTGCATTTGTGAAAAACTGTACAAAAATTGTTGACTTGCTTGAGTTAGAGCACTGGCACATATGTGTGTGGAAGTGGGAAAGGAGGTAATGGTATGAGGGCAATGATAACTTGGGACAGAAGACAAAGAATCGTGGCCAGCATCTGAGATCATTGAGGATTGGCAGACATAGTCATTCAAGTAGGATGGAGGTTTATGAACTCTAGAAGAGTGTCTCGTTGGGACATGGGAAGAATTGGGTATTGAATGACTAGTGGAAGGAACAACTGATATGGGAACTGGAAGAATGGGATCATTTAACAAAGTGGAATGAGAAGTAGAAGAGTCTGGAGAGATGTCAATGTCAAGAAAATCTGGGAAACTAGATGGATGAAAGATGGGTGAATTGGACCTGGAATTCTGGAAAGGGAAGACAATTTCATGAAAAATAACATCCCTAGAATCTTCTATTTTGTGAGTGGAAAGGTTGTATACCTTGTAAGCCTTTTTACCATAGGGATATCCCAGGAAGACACAAGCTGAGGCTCTGTCATCAAATTTATGCCTACCCTGTTTTTGAGTAGTCACATAACATAAACAACCAAAGACTTTTAGATGATCATAAGTGGGAGGCTTGTTGAAGAGGATTTCATAGGGTGTTTTACCTTTAAGGATTTTGGTAGGGAATCTATTTATAAGATAGGTGGCTGTGAGGACACAATCTCCCCAAAATTTCAGTGGGAGGTTGGACTGTATTAACAAAGCTCTGGAAGTTTCAAGGAGATGTTTATGTTTCCTTTCAACTATGCCGTTCTGTTGAGGTGTATTCTTAACACTTGTTTGATGCAAAATCCCCTTGGATGAAAAAAATTGGGTCATGGCTCTACTTTTCCCAAGTTCCAAGGCATTATCAGATCTGACAGTTTTAACTAATGTGTCAAATTGAGTATGAGCCATGATAATAAAACTTTGGATCAGATCTGGGGCATTGCTTTTAGCAGAAAGAAGGTAGGTCCAGGTTGCTCTTGAGAAATCATCCACCACAGTAAGAAAATAAGAGAACCCATTGTGAGTTTTTGTGTGATAGGGACCCCAGATATCTATATGAATCAACTGAAAAATATGGGTAGTATGGCTGTGACTATGAGGAAAAGGGAGTCTGTGTTGCCTAGCTCTAGGACACACATCACATGTAGATAAGGACTCTATCTTATCAGAATCAAAAGAAACAACAGATTTCAGTTTGTAAAGAGGTAAATGACCCATTCTCATGTGCCAAAGAAAAGCAACATCAGTCTTACAAACTTTATTACAAATGACAGGAAAAGATAAAGAACTACTATCCGATGAACAAATGTTTTGAGCTGATTCAGAAGCTGGAACAGAAGGTGATGAATGACTGCAACTTGAATGTCCCTGTGAAATGTAAAGTCCACCAACCCTCTTACCAAGAACCACTGGCCTCTTCATGGAAGGGCCCTGCAAAGTGCATAGATTTTGGGTAAATTGTGCAGTAACTCCCAATTGATTGCATAATTTTCCCACAGAAAGAAGATTATATTTGAATTGGGGAACAAACAGAACATTCTCAAGAATTATATTGTGTGGCAAGATGATTTTTCCAACTTTGGACACTGAAAGATTGTGATTGTTAGGTAGAGATATGTATTGAGGATGAGAAAGAGGTTTAAGATCAATTAAGAGTTTGTCATTAGCACACATATGGTCAGTTGCTCCCGTGTCTAAAATCCAAGCATAATCATCAATAAGAGATACAGCATTGCACAAATGTGGACACAAAACCATAGGATGAAGTAAAGTCATACCTGCCATCTGGGCAGAAAAGGCATGGGAATGAGAGGTTCCAGCAGGGCCATGATCCTTAGTATTGATCTGCATTGTGTTCATAAAGCTGATGAACTGATTATACAACTCCATGTTGTCAACTCCATGACCAGTTTCCTCTCCGTTTAGAACATGTGATGCCACTTTCTTGTTCTTGAATTTGAAATCCTTAGGGAATCCAATTAGTCTGTAGCACCTGCTGGATGTGTGACCTGGTTTCTTGCAGTGATCACAAATGATTTTCTTATTGTCATTTCTTCCTTTGAAACCTCCTTGAAGATAACTAGATTTAAAGTTGCTCTGGGTATTTGCATTCAGCGAAGTGTGATCTGCATTGAAAGAAGATGATGCTTGTACTTCTCTTTGCCTTTCCTCATGAATAAGAAGTCCATATGCTTCACTAACCGTAGGCAACGGCCTCATCAACAATATATTCCCCCTAATTACATTATAATCTGAATTCAATCCCATCAGAAACTGAATTAACCTTTGATCTTGTTCATACTTGTACAAGGCTTGAGCAGCACCACAAGTACAATTGGGAAGGTTATTCACTGTGTTCAGTTCATCCCAACTCTTCTTAAGACGTGTGAAATAGGTTGCGACATCTGAGTTCCCTTGTGTCATTGAACAGACTTCCTTCTGTAATTGATACAATCTCGCACCATTAGATTGTCCAAAACGTTCATCAAGCTCTCGCCAAATCTCAGCGACTGTATTAGCATACAACACACTCTCTGCAATCTCTCTGTTTAAGGCATTCAAAATCCATGACGTCACCATATCATTACAGCGTTGCCAAGCATTCAAACGCTGTGGATCATTTACAGGTTTCTCAATTGTTCCATTGGCAAAACCTAGTTTATTTTTGGCTGATAATGCAATAGACATAGATTTCTGCCAAGCGCCAAAGTTGATTCCATCAAATTGTTTTGAAACGAGATTCAAACCTGGATGATCAGAAGGACGTAGATATAAAGGATCAGTAGGAGCGATGGTGAATCGAGTGTTGTTTTCCGCCATGGCTACTGCTTTGTTGAATGATTGACTTCAGAATCGAGGAACAAGATGGAGTTCCGATTCAATGAAATAGAGCCAATTCAATGAAATAGAGCTCTGATACCATGTTGATTTGCATTCAATTTGAGATTCTACTCCGTGAATGCGCAGGAAGCCATGGTCGAAGGAGAACGAAGATGGAAGAGAGAGAGAGAAACGGGAATAACAGAAAGATATTTTCAGCACATAAAAATCAATCCAAAAAACTGTTGTACAGGGCTATTTATATAACATGAGATAAAAATAGAAAAAGGAAAAAATAATAATAAAAATGAATACTATATATCACCAACATATATATATATATATATATATATATATATATATATATATATATATATATATATATATATATATATATATATATATATATATATATATATATATATATATATATATATTGTGATTGACGATCATCAACTTATTGCTACAATGAATTCAGATATACATGTGTATGGGAGAAACATAAATTTATCATTGTGAAATCAAGAAAGTATTGCTCCAAAAGCATTAGACTCTCTCGTAATCATCCGAGGCAGTTTCTTGTTTTGGTAATCGCCCTCTTGTGACATTCATCAATTGACAGGCTGCACAAGTATATATGAGAGTGATATTAAGATGCAGTTAATACACAATGCCTAGTTTTGAATACTATTATAGATTAACTTTTAAAAACGCCAAAGCTTAAGACTATTGCTAGATAGCTTTTCTAAAAGTCTAAAGTCGAACGCTTAAGTTGATGCCAAACAAACTTATAGAGAATTTTCTATGATAATTACCGTAATCGATATGGTCTAGATTTTCTTCTCTACTTGATCTGCAATCACAGACTGCTCTTAAGCTTGCCCAGCATTTCTTCTCAGGTGAATGGTCTCTTGATTGGCAATCACAAATTGGTCTTAAGCTAGCCCAACACTTCTTTTCAGGCAAATGGTTTTCTTGATATGGCATGGAATTGCCTCGGAGCTCTTCAATCTGCATTTACTCAAGAAAAACCGAAGTGTTAAGTAATTATTCCACATCTTCATGATATAAATATATAAATCACCACATTTACCTCTTTGCGCAACTTTTGGTTTTCGATCTTAATCTTTTCTTCCTCCAGTTCAAAAAGAAAGAAACTAACAGTTTAGCATATTCCCATTCAAAGACATGTTTTTTAAAATTTATTAAAATACAGCCTCTGAATAAGAAATCAAAAAATTTATTTGAATTGTATATAAGTCACCTGCAATCTTGAATTCTCAAGCTGCTTGAATAGGATTTTCTCCTGAATAATAAAATAGATATAATCATAGTTTGTAACTTTGTGAGAAACCATTATTAGTTTTATTCAACTTTAGGGTAAGGTATAAAGACCTTCATATCCTTAACAGATAATATCCCCTCTGCCAGTTGATGCTCTAAATGCTGCAACTCTTTGAGGCTCAATCCACTGAGATCCTTTCCCGTCATATGGCTTCACAGGATCAAAACAAGTATTACAAAAACCAACTTCATAACCCGCGGAATTGAACATCAAATGTTCTTAAGTAACTTCTTTTTTCATTTGCCAAAAAAAATGTTCACGAAATGAGCACATCTATTAACAGTATCTTCTCTTTCCACCAAATTCGAAGGGCTATATAACAATGCACATGGAGCCTCACCGGTGCAGCTGATGTAGATTTGCAAGTTCGGATCTTAACGCACCTACTTCAGGCTGCAAATCACACTTGAATTACTAAACAACTTCATTAATTAACACAATGTGACAAAGGATAATAACCAAACCAAACCAAACCAACACTCCCATTACCGCACTCAAGAGTATGGTCTAGTGGCACAAGATGTACGCAGACCTTACCTCTACCCAAATAGTAGAGGCGATGCAGTGCGTTCGTTCTCCAAGACATGTTTTCTTATTGGAGTACAAAGTCTGACGTCTGGAAAACAAGAACATGTACATCTTATTGGATGTATATTGCACGGAAAGGAGGTTGGACAGATTAAGTGTCAAGAGTTTGGAGTCAAGAGTATATAGCGTCCTAGTTTGGAGTCTAAAGAAAATAATCCCAGAAGAACAGAATCATAATGCACGACAAGATTTATTAGTCGAATTTAATTGCAATTAGTGTTTACCTCTGATCCATTACCAACAGCAGCAAAATCTGAAGCAAATGAAGTTTTGCTGTACTTTGCCAGAACATGTTCCATGCTTCATTAAACAAAGAGAGAGACAATTCATAATAATTGAATCCAATTGATCAACTAGTTTAGAACGTACACGCCACTCTTTAATATTTGAATACCAGACATTTAACAAAAACTTTTTTTAAAAGAAGAAGCATAATAATGTTAAAATATTACAGGGCCGATCCTAATATTTTAAAGGTCCAGCGCAAAAATTAAAATTAGGTCTTTAAAGTTTGTAGTACACCAGTCACCTCTAGATTACAGAAAGATTGTTTAGCCCACTTACATTAGTTTTCTATTATGCTAACATCATAGCACTCTAATACTTTAATATTTGGAATTGCGACACTATTTTTTGCAATCAATCAGATATAATTCAAAGAAAAAAAATGATAATTTAAAGTACAGAAACATATACATATTTTTTTGCATATAGCCAACAATATTGAAGCTAGTGAATGTGGACCAGTCGCCAAATTTTCTGTGTAGCAATGACTATGTATAACTTGTAATTTAATTTTACAATAAGATATTGTCAAATAAAGAAATAATCCCAAATAGGAGCACAACGTAGTCCTTATTCCCAAAATATCCCAGAGTGACATGTTTTAATCTCAAAATTATATTATTGCAATATGACAATGTGAAACTGTACAAGTGTAAATTGGCATTCTTTAGTGTTTTTTGGGATTTTATGTTTGGCATTATAGGTCATATTTTGGGACAAAAGCATGAAGATCATATTTTGGTTATTTTCCTTATGTTTTCCTCACATTTTGATCTTTCTACCGATCAAATGTAACTGTATAATTTTAAGATTAGGGTTACAAATGGAATGATAAATTACAGGTGATTAAGAACAGAGAGAGACCTGGAACTGGAAAATTGAAAGAGGCGGCCGGTGGTGGAGAAGATGATAACAGCAACCTGAGCATCGCAGAGAATGGAGAGCTCCTTAGCCTTCTTCAGGAGGCCCGCCTTCCGCTTGGAGAAGGTCACCTGTCTGTTGCTTACCTTCTCTATCTTCTTCATCTCCGTCTTCCCTCTCCCCATTTTTCTCTCCCTCTTTCTCTCGCCTTTTTTTACCCAATCTTCTTCCAACTTTTATACTCTCTATTCAAATTGTCCACCTAGGGAGTACTATATTTAGATCATTTTCCATTCTCAAAGGATGAGCCTATCCCCAAGGTCTCCTCAGACCCAGTTAGACGTTACTCACAGAACGTAAATTTAACTTTGATAATTTTCCATTCTCATTATTAGTTTTGATTGATTTGGTTTGATTATTTTCCACATGTGATTTAAATTTTTCTCTTTTGGAAAAATTAGTAGAACCGGATAAAATATTTTGAATTATTCAAAAATTACCTTAGAGGACATATTCATTATTGACTTCCAACCATCTTTAGACCATTAAAGCATTTACAATGAGACGAACTCTTGCCCGCTCCATTGTCGGTCACATCATTAATTTTTAATCTCGTTCTAAAAACCTGCAATGTTATCGTTGTTTCATTCCGCCTCTCCGTTACTTTTATATTATTCATCTTTTTAAATTTATAAATTTTACAAAAAATACATATAATTAAATTAAAATTGGTAACAAGGACACTCTTTATTTTAAAAATACTAAAAAAATACACTAAAATTAGCATATCCACGAGCTCATCATTTGTAGGAAGAAGAGCTATTTTTAAGAAAATGAAATGAGAAATATGAAAATAAATTAAGAATGAGATTAAATTGAATGAGGGATCAATTAGAATTGGAGAATGGATGAATAATGAATTTACACAACAACAACAACAACAACCCAGTTGAATCCCACTACAGTAGGGTCTGGGAAGGGTGTGTGTACGTAGACTTTGCCCCTACTCGGAAGTAGGGAGACTGTTTCCAAGAGAAGCACAAAATTATGGAAGGGAACACAGTATAGTACGGGTAAAGCACCAAGTACAAACAACAAATACAAGCAATAGCAAAAGATTCCAAACAAACACACACTACAAACAACCTCTACAGCAGCGAGCTCCTATCCAGCTACTCTAATCCTAGTTCTCCAAAGTTTCCTATCTAAGGTCATATCCTCAGTCAGGGTGAGAAGTCCTAAATCCTTCCTAATCACCCCCTTCCTATTCTTCCTAGGTCTACCCCTTCCCCTACTTCCCCCGATAATCGTAATCCTCTCGTATCTCCGTACAGAGAAGGGGTTGACTGCTGTAATTGATGGCGTCGCTGGAATATCATGGCGCGGGTTTCGACGCGCCTAGCTGCTAGCAATCGTGCTCCGCTGCATGTCGTTCCCCTCCATCCGGCGCTACGAGTTTTTACTCCCTTCGTCCCAAATTAAATCGTTTGTTTACTATTCACATAATAAAATTTATTCACTTTCATTATCTATTTTCTTTAGCCATTTAATATAATAATATAGTCATATCACCACTAGTTGTATAGATCTTCTGATCTAGAATTAAAATATGTAATTTTTATTTTTTTAATTTACACCATTTTTATATAAAATGATTTGAAAATAAATTCAGTAAAACATTGTAAACCGAAACAGACGATTTAAATTGGGATGGAGGGAATAATTATTTTAAAAAGCGTATAGTTAAGAGGTGTTTCTCTGTGCTGATGTTTATTAGCTTATTGCTGATAAATAGTTTTTACCTTATAAACTACTTATAAGCCAGATATTACTTCTTGTAAGTCTTATGACATGAATGATAGATAAATTATTTGAAATATTTATAAATGGTGAGAGTTAGTTTTGTAAATAATTTGATCAAAACGAAAAAAACAAAAAAAATAATTTAACAAAAAGAAGGTAAAATATACTTATTTTTTCTAACTTATAAGCACCTTATAAGTCAGTCTATAAGGATAAAAAACATGTTTTTAGCAAACTTATAAATTAAAAAAAGTTTATAAGTAATTTTGACTAATTTATAGACATAAAGACCCACTAAATATGAAGTTGCTCCTTGTTTGGGTAGGCAATGGAGAAGAGAATGACCGTGTAAAAACTAAAACTAGTTTGATGCTCTTGCCACCTCCAAGTATTTGTCCATTTTTTACTTTATTTATTTATGTCAAAATTAATAAATGTTGATCTCAAATTAAATAAAAGTGATAGTAGATATTGATATAAAAATTATTTTTATTACATTTATTATATAAAATATTTTCAAAACATCATTTTTTAATTAATATACAAAATATATTATATTATATTTAATTATAAGTCAGAGTTTAAAAATAGTTAACTAAAGGAATCAAAACTGGACAAATACATGGGGATGAAGGTAGTATACAGTTTTAACATAGTATTTCACACATTCAACCATTATTTAAATCGCACAACATTTTGTTTCAAAAAAAAATCGTACAACATTTACTATTTGTGTAATTCTATTAAATATATGATGCCAAACTTTATTAATTACTATAATAAGTTTTCCCATTAAAGAAGATAAAATCATATGGAGTTTTTTCAAATAAAATAGAAAGAAAGTAATGAAGGTTACCGTTTTACCTTTTCCCTCTTTGATTTCCCATTATGTAGAGCAATACTATAATAAATGACATTGGTTTGCTACATCAAGCTTTGTTGTTTTTTACTCTTTCCCTAGCTATTAAACTCCTGTCACATTTTATCTAGAAAATAAAAAAACAATAAAATCACATAGTTTTTTCTTACGAAAAAAAGAAATATTTTTAGAATAAAAAAGAAAAAACGGAAAGATGATCAAGTGTCCTTATTACTTTTCAACCGAACATTTATTAAATGACTTTTACGAGTTTTAGCACACTTAGAGCATCTGCAGCCATACTTGTTATTTTAATTTGTTATTTTTACATTATAGCAAGTGAATAGTGATATAGCAAGCACTTTTTTGCTTTATTCTCCAACCATAATTTGTCATTTTAATTTTTAAGTATTGGCTAGCTAAATTTTGAGGGACTTGTCATATTTAGCAAACCAAAGTTATTTTTTGGCAAACTAGCTAAAATAAAGAATGCCCTTTGGAGAAGAACAAAAGTGTTTAACTAATTATATTATAACTTTTAGCTAGTTAAACTGATATGGTTGGAGATGCTCTTAGGGCCTGTTCTTTAGAGCTTGAACTCTTAACTTCCAGTTTCTTCTAGTTCCTTCCAGTTCTTTCCAGTTTCTTCCAGTTCCTTCCAGTTTTTTCCTGTTTCTTCTAATTTCTTCCAACTATATTTATTTTCTTCAAATTCTTCGTACTTTCTGACAAATCACTCTAAAAAATATATTATTATTATTATTACGACTTTTTTTTAATTACAACTTTTATGTTCATAACTACAGTTTATAAATTATTTCATTTTTTGCATCTCACTATTTTTATGATTCACATTCATTCTTCCAGTTTCTTCAACTTTTTAATATGAATAATACCTTTTTTTGTATAGTAATCTACATCAAAAATTAGGAAACTATTTAAAAAATTATGGATAAATAGTTATATAAAATATTTTTTAATCTAAATTTATATAAGATAAATAATATTATGAAACCAAGAGAAGACTACATTTTGAAAAAGAAAAAATGACCCAAGAAGTGTAATATTTATGCTAATTTTAAATTCTAATTATTTTTTTAAACTAGCTTTTTATATATGAAAAATAATATTCGTAATATTTTTTTTATCTTAAAGACAATCATTAAGATAACGTGATAACACCACCACCACCACCACTACAAACAACAACAACAAGAATAATAATAATAATAATAATAATAATAATAATAGTAATAATAATAATAATAACAAGGATCAGAATGAGAATAATATAAAACCACACATAATTTTTTTAAAAAAGTTTTTTAAGATTTTTCAATTTTTTCTAGTTTTTTCAGTTTCTTTTAATTTTTTTCAGTTTTTCCAATTTTTTCTAGTTTCTTCCAGTTTCTTCTAGTTTCTTCCAATTCCTTCCAGTTTCTTCCAGTTCTTCCAGTTCCTTCCAGTTTCTTCCATTTTTTCCAGTTTCTCCCAACATCCAGCTCTTTTTTTCCAGTCCTAATTAAAGAACAAGCCCTTATTATATAATTTTGAGATGAGGGAAAAAGAATAAGTGTTACATTTACTTCCTCCGTCCGGAAATGTTCTTCATGTACGCTTATTAAGGAATAGTAAAAAAATGTCAATTTTCCAAAAATGCACATACTATAATCTTTTAAATCACCTTTTTTATTAAAAAACAACAAAAAAAGTAGATTAGTGTTAAAATAGAAGAACATTATTGAAATTTATTCTTAAAAAGTATACTAAAAAAGAAAATGTGACGAATGTTTCCAGACGGGCCAAAAAGGAAAGCGGGAAGAACATTTCCGGATGGAGGAAGTAATAGTTTACCACAAATGAGAAGTAGAGAAACTGACTGCACTAAGGGTAATATACTACTCCCTCTATCCCACGAAACATTTCTCGTTTTGACTTTGAAAAGATTTAAAGAGATTGTATTTTGATATTGACTTTCAAAAAATGTCATTAGATGTGATGTGTAAAAGTAGATGTGAATAGATTAATAGTGAGAATTTTACCATTCTGACGCACTCCCTCTCTAGATACGGTTTGTTACGTTACTAGTCATGTATTATTTGGTATTGTGTAAATATTGTTAGGCACAATATTGGTACTATATTGGTATTGTTTCGTATTATATTACCTCATCTGTCCTAAAATTAACTTCTCATTTGATTTTTCAGTCTCCAATGTGACATTTTGACCATTAATATCTCCACTTTTATATGAATATATATAATAAAGCCAATATATTTCAAAACTGATATCCGGAAGTCATTTTCCGTAAATCACTCGCTCCTCTGCTTCTCTTCCACGCGTCTCATTCTCTGCTTTTCTTCCCTGCCCCTCTCTGATCGTTCTCATTTCCACCATATATTCTCTTCATCTAAATTTTAGGGTCCGTTTGGTATAAGGAATTGATGGAATTGAATTGGAATTGTAATTCCATGGGATTCAATTCCATAGAATTGAATTCTGTCAATTTCAATTCATTTTTTGCACTATCAATTCCAAATCTACATAATATTTGTGCTACCAAACACTAGAATTGGAATTGAAGTCCCCAATTCCAATTCCATAGTTTGAATTCCATGTACCAAACGGGGCCTTAAGGTTTTCATTCTCTCATATTTTTACCTCTTGTTCCTCATAAAATTGTACTATGTATCTTGGATCTCCTTTTTGAAGCAATTGGTGAGGTCATAGTTCATATTCTTATAGTCTATTCGAAGGATTGGTATGATCTATTTAAAGCCATCAGATTTAGACGGTGTTTGGCAGTGCGCTGCTTTTAACAATTTAGCTTCTGCTTTGAGTGGAAGTGATTTTACTCTGTTTGGCATGTCAGCTTCTGCTTTTCACCAACATTATTTTGTACATAGAACACCGTTTCGAAAAAGCAGGTATCCACGTGAAACCGGCGTCGGATCTTCGTTGAGATCAAAGTCATGGGCAGTCGCAGGGGGCAGATTGAGGTCAAACACATTAAGTGTGGATGAAGATGGATTTGAAGATATGTAATCCATGACGGGTTAGAATTAAATAGCCTTCTTCAATGCACACAACTCATTTATATGGTCATTGAAGTTGGTGTACTTAGGAAAAATGGGGGGGGGGGGGGAAACAATGTTAATTTTTGGCTCTTTTCCCTCTTTAATTTTAAACGAATTGATGTGTGATGTATATGGTGATGATGTGTAAAACTTGTGGCCTAGTTGTAAAATAATGACATTGATGTGATGTTTACTTTAATTAAATACTCTCTTTCCTCTCCCCTTTTATTTTTTGCCAGCTTTTGCTTTGGGACGGGTGGGTGGGGGGGTAAAGTTGGAAAAAAAAGCTTTTTATCCACAACCTAAAATTATGTGCAAGTCAAAGTGTTGTGAATAAATAGGGACGGAGGATGTATGTGTCATTTGCGAGAAGCTTGGGTACACCCATGATAGCAACCATTTGGGGCACCCTGGCATGGTCAGTAGGGGTGTGCAAGAACCGGTCTGGACCAGAAATTAGACCTGACCCGGACAGGAATGGACCGGTCCGGACCGACCCGGAATAATCAGGTTCGGTCTCCGGTCTTAACAAATTTTGGATTCCGGGTTCCGGTCCGGTCTAGAACCCAGAAATAATTGGTCTAGACCGGAATATATATATATATATATATATATATATATATATATATATATATATATATATATATATATATATATAGGGGCCGGTTCAGGTGAGAATGCATTTAGTGAAAGAAATAAGAATAAAATCTGACTTTTGGATCTCATGTATCGTGCGGCTCAGATTGCATCCTGCACTCAGATTTTCAGATAGTGCATTTTCAAGGGATTTTGGTGCATTTTGACATGATGCATTTTCAAATCATTTTGATGCACCGAATTTTGATGCAATCCTGACTCTTAGATCTCACAATCTAAAACACCAGATTCATTCTTATTTCTTTCATAAGATCGCATTCTCACGAGAACCAAAATATATATATATCTCTTATATTATATAAATGTGAAAGAGGGTTTGGTACCCCTTAATAAGATGTTCTTTTTCCATCCAAAAAATAGGTACATTATGCTTTAAATCATGTACATTGTTTTTTAATCCCAACCTTACCCATATACCGTTAGTTTTCTCCATCCACTTATATTCCCAATAAATGTCATTTAGTGCCATAGTCTTAGACACACACCAATTCTCACAAGAAGAAATTTAGCTCTTTAAAATTTTTCTTTCATTATCTAATTGTGAGATGACTATCCCGAATTAAGCTACTTATAACATCCTTTGTTTGAATTTAATCTTTTCACTTTGACTTTTTTTCATTTTTAAAAATATTTGAAAGAGAATAATTTTTAATAGATTTGTCCAAAATGTCCTTACAAAAATGTTTAAACATGAAAATTAGAAAGATTAATCTGAAAAATTTTCTAGAAAAATCTCTTATCACAAACACTATTTTCATCCCTACTCATTCGAAAAAATTCTTTTTCACTAAATCTAGAAAGGAGCTCAATTGTATGTAATTACGAATGATACAATCTTGATATTATAGTGGCATTCGTGATAGATAATAACTAAAAAAAATCAAATATAGATATAAAGAATCATGTGTGAGTTATGATTGCAAATGGAAAAGGGAATGCCACAAATGTAGATGCATAAACCAAATAGATAAAGCTAAAAAATAAAAAAATTAACAATTAATAGCGATATAGTACCGTGAAAACAAAACTAAATAGAAAAATAAATATGCTTGACATATGATTGAGAAATGGAAAAGGCAATGCCAAAAATGTAATAGTAACACGCCCAACGACAAAGCTAATTTCGGGCACCACATCTCGTGCAACGCACGTGCCATTGCTAGTATATATATAAAATTTTTAATTTTTTATACCTATCTTATATTTCTATCCACTAATCAACCCAGTCCAATTAATCAAAGTATCAAACCCGTGAGGATGAAACCAATAATCTAAACTCGTGACCTTTTTTCTACCGTGACCAAGCGCAGAGCCTACAGCAAATTGCCCGCATCTCTTTATCGCCTACAGCCGCAAGTCTGCAACTCTTTAATCGGCACCACCTTCGTTGCAAACTCGTTGTCAATCAGGTCCTCCTTCACCGGAATCGTTTCTCGTCCCCTTCTTTTCGTTCTCGCCGGAGTCACCGGCTCGTTCTCGCCGGAATCCCTAGCTGCGGAGTGAGGATTGCAATGACGGATATGGAAAAAAACAGGGACAATATGTATAAATCCAATTTCTACTTCTATTTCCTAGCAATGGTGATTCCCAGCATGACTTTATACTTAAAATTCAATTTTAATTCTAATTTCAGATTTGTTGACATAGGATCTTAGATTCATGAATGTATTTTGCTTCATTATTTTTTGTTTTTTTACAGAGGCTCGAAAAAGAATTTGCATCATTTACTTTATTGAATCTGTCAATTATATCTCCATGAATTTGTGGAGATATTAAATCATGATTTTGTCAATTTGTGTCTATTTACATAACAAATTTTAGTTTATGTGATTTTTTTAATACTCCTTCCGTCCCGAAAGAGATTACAATATTCTCTCACATTTTTGTCCCAAAAAGAATTACAAAGTCAATAACTTTACAAGGAATTGACTCTTTTATCTTCCCGCTCCTACACTATCCATGTGAGTGGGAAGGATACTTGGGGGATTTGGGAGGTAATTTGGAGAAAAAAATTTGATTTGACTTTTCCTTAATTTTAACAAAAAAGAAATATTGTAATCTAAAGTAGGACGAGAGAGTATAACAAATCCGGTCCATAATAGGGTAAATCCGGACCGGATCGGAAAATTCAGGTCCGGTCTTCGGTCTTAAGAAATGCTTGATTCCGGTTCCGGTCCGGTCCGGTGCACACGGGTCAGCCTTGTTTTTAATTTTTGAATGGGGCAGCTTTGTAAGACCTTTAAACATTTGGGCCAAAACTGAAAAAATGAAACTTTTGAATAAACACGGAGTAAAATGAATTGGGGAGGGTCATAAGTGAAAGTGAGACTCCGCCGCCTCCTGAGTCTCTGTTTCATCGCCGATCGACATCGCCGATGCCATCTCTCCGGTGACCACTCTTCAGGTATCATCTTCTCACCTCCGATCCCCTTCAAATCTGTAAACTCCGTATAGCATCTCTCTATTTCCTTCTCCTTGTCCAAGTCTCTCCCTTTCCTCTTCCAATTCCTTGGCTATTTAATGGCGCGTTCCCAACTGGTATCAATTTATAATTGTGTCATAAATTGTTTAATTTTTTTTGGACATGCGAATTTGTAGGCTATTGAGATTTTCTTCTTGTCCTCTTCTATGCTATTTTATGGGCTATCTTGGCTTGGCTATTTTAATTTGTTGGTTACTGGTTATTTTGTCATTAATTTGTGTGATGTTATGTGTTTGATTTTACGGGAAGGTTCAAGTGACATTGGACCTCAATGTCATGGGAACCGGTGCCCCGTTTCTAAAATTGACGGTTTCTACCCTAGGAAACCCCCACTCGGCCCGACCCGAACACACACCTCCACCCCCTTCAATTGCACCCCACAAGTTGATTTTGATTTTGGAGTCAATTGTACTCCAATGTCACTTGAACCTTGGTGTTGATTTTAATAAAATTAGGATAATTGATATATTTTGTGAATATTTTGAACATAAATGCGTGTATCTTACAAAGATATGAATTATACAACGTGTATAAATAAATTTGCCGCACAAGCACCTTTTTTTTTGAAAATTTTCGTACCCGCCCACGAGTAGTGCACCAGCACCTCTGCACCTGTGCTTCATAGTTCAAAACTTACCTTAGATGTTATATTCATTATTGTAAACTAATTTCAACCATTTTTTTGTTACTGCAAAAGACATTACCCTAAATAGAAAACATAAGAGTTCAATGTTTTTATCTCAAAATAAAAATTTGCATTGTGATAATGTGCTAGTGTATATGGACATCAGGGCACTATAAATTTGCCGCACCAGCACCCTATTTTAGGAATAAAAACATGTAACTTATATTTTGGTATACTTTCTATGTTTTACTCCTACTTTAGGTTTTTTCCTTATTGCAAAGTAGTCTAACGATTTTTGTTTGGGAAGTTTACCTAAATAGTACTAACACATAGTGACTTTCCCAATGTAGTACACTATGTTTTCATTTCCCAATGCAGTACCACTGTTCGATGTCCACTGGTCATTGTTCAAGTAAATGTCTAGTGTGACTGGACATTGTTCAAACTAAATGTCTACCATCACAGGACATTGTTTCCATCACTAGACATTATTCAAGTACTTTTTAAGAAACAAAAGAGTTCAGGTACTACACTGGGAAATGACATATGTTTTAGTACTATTTAGTGCAAATTTCACTTTTTATAACTTGTTCTTTATTTCTTAAATTTTAAATATTTTTAAAAAGTGTAAGGTTAAAATTAAAGTTGTTGCCTTCTTGTTCGGGTGGGCAATAAAGAAGAGAATTTGCGTGTTAAAATTAAAACTAGTTTGGCAGTACTAAATTTTAACTGTTTTTTACAATCAATAGGTGGGGTGCAGACCTCCTTCCCCTAAATTGCCAATTTAGGCAACCCAGATCAGCAATTTAAGAAGTGGGGTGCAAGAAGTCAGGGTAAGAACCATTAATTTTATCAATGAGGTACCGTAACTATCCCGAGTCATAATATGACCTGAGGTTTCACGTTCAAATTCATTAAATATATGATGTCAAACTTTAATACTCCGTATTAAAATAGATTTACCCAATAAAGAAACTAAAATTATACGGAGTTTTTCAAAATAAAATAGAAAGAAAGTAATGAAGTTTACCATTTCACCTTTTGCTTTGTGGTTCCCATTTTAAGAGCCATACTATAAACGACATTGGTTTGCTACATCAAGACTCTGTCAAGTCTTTAGCGTTGGCACTTAGCAGCAATTGGGCTATACGAAAATATAATTAGGGTTTACATCCTTTGCAGAAATGGATTTTGAGAATCGTCCTTCACCGCAGCTGACGCCGGTGGCCGCAGTGCAGTTCCAAGAAGGCATTTTCCTGGTGCTCTCTAGATGGACTTCTCTGCAGATGGCCGTCGCAGAGGAGTGGGGCGGCCCCACATCTCGTAAGAAGTCCGAGGATCTCGTTGTACGCATCTTCTCCATGTTTGCCCAGTCTAAAGAAACGCTACACGTCAATGATTTGGAGGACTTTCTCGACGAATTCATGGTTTCTAATTTCAGTGCCGAGCTCGAGGATGGAAGTATTGAGGAGGTTGCAGAAAAGTTGATGATTATGCACGGGGAATGTGCAGAAGGTAACTTCAGTACAATTAATGATCTGAAGGCGACAAATCTTGTGAGTTCCTCTGTCTCTTATAGAAGACAGGAGGTTTGCGGTGAAGAAGAAGATGATATTGATAGTGATGTTGATAGTGATAGTGTTGTTGATGGCGAGAACGATTTGTTGGGAAAGGATTCTTCAGATATGGCAGTAGATTCTTTTGCACAGCAAACATGTATGGACCAAAGAGAGATGATGGTGGATGAACCAGTTGCGGGCATCACAACCGAAGACGGGTGGACAGTTGTATCTTCAAGGAAAAGAAATGGTAAAAAAACTTAATCCGAATTCGAAATGGTCTGTTTATTGTTGTTTTATACCAATTTGGGAGAGTACTTGCATTGCTATTCTGCTTAACTAGCCTTTATGTTATGATTAGATATGTAGATGTGGTTTTTTGTTCACATATGTTCTCTTGAAGTCTTAGGGTCTCATTAAAGGATCAATTTTTTGCTGGTACAATGAGTTTTCTGTTTTTTTTAAAAAAAAATGATTGTTACTATTACTTGAACAAATAAGCAAATGCTATCCCCTAAAAGATGAGGTTTTGGGATGGATGGATGCCTCAAATCTTCAGCATTTTGCTTGCACTACTGCTCTGTTTAGGCTTTAAGTCAAGCACTGACATGCCAAAAACTGAAAAAGTATTCTTTTTGCCTTAAATTTCTTCTGCTTGGGGGTGGGTGATTTGAAATGTTTTACATTTATACTTGAGAAGTTAGAGCTTTTAGCCACGCACAAAGTTTGAAAGAAGGTGCTTTATTTGTGAGGCTTTGTTGCTGGAAAAAACAACATTGTACCACCATGAGTGAAAGCTCCATACTGATCATGTTAACTTTTAACACTGTTCACATAAAAGTATAAAACTAAGCTGTGTGTTTGGGTACAAGTTGTGTGATTAGGGTTTGGTGCAATTGTGTGTAACTAAACTTTTGATATTGCATGGTTGGTCATGTAATTACTAAGTTAACGTAATTTACTTCGTATAATTACGGAGTAAAGTGTTGTAAATAAGCCAAACCTATAGTTTTGAGCCTCTGGGGGCTTCTCTTCAGGCCCAATGCTATCTTAGAGTGTCATGTTTTTTGGGCTTAGTCTTCTCTTGAATCAAGTGTACGTAGCAGAATTCTTCCTTTCTAAGCTCTTAACCTACGCTCTCTCTTTATGTTTATGTGTCTATGGCGCCTTAAACAACAACATTACCACAGTGTGTCACCATGCCTTTTACTACTTACATAGTTATAAATTGTTCTTTTTTACTCTTTCCCTAGTTATTGTAAGAACTAATAAAGCTCTCAGGTCCGTAATAATGGTTCCCCGCACTCCAATCAACACAATTTACATAAATACGTCACATATTTACATCCAAAACCCAACCCAAAAAGTTCCATCAAAGCTACACGGTGTCGTCACTAACATCTCCACCATCCTCACTTGTAACTCAATGTCACATCAGCTTTTTCCATTTTATGCTCATTTCATCCTTATTTGGGGTGTAGATCCCAATTCCATACCCATTTTTTTAATTTTTATTTTTATATATTACAATTATAATATTTTATTTAATTTGTAAAATTAAACTAAAATAAAATTAGAAAAAATAACTGAAAATAGAAACTAAAACATAAAAAAAAATCTAAACTTTAATTTTAATCTAGATCTGGATCTTCAAAAAAAAGAATACGGCATAAAAATTTTAAAAGAGAAGAAGTCTGCGAAAAGAAACTAAGAAGATAAAGAAAAACAAGAAGAAAGAAGAGGAGGGAGGTGGAAGAAGAAGCGATAGAAACTGCGTCTTCGACGTCTGCATGCCGGGTACGTCAAACACCGAATGGGGGGGTGGCGGGGGCAGGCGGTGTTCTCTTTTGGCACCGAATGCCATCTGGACACCGAAACCAATCCTTACTCCCGCACCGTGTAGCCTAACGAGCCACATACAAAATTAATGTATAGATATGGGTTTCATTTGACATTAACTTTAACGTTCTAGAAATGGTATGCAACCATAGGCCATATCTTTTAGGTACAATACTTTTAACAATTAATTGGAGGGGAACTAACCTCTATGTTGGGACTACAAGTGTTCTCTTCCTAATGTCACACTAATATGACATTGTTCATTTTGGATCAAGTCGTCACGAATTTATTTTTGGACACCTCCCAAAAAACGTCATACTATTAAGTTGAGTCAAACTTGTTTTTTTATTTCCTTTTTCTTATCCCACGGGTGTGGGAGTGGGTTTGCAACCCAACAATCTACAATATGTTGGAGCTTGGTAATAGCTTTGTAGTTTCAAAAAAGTATCGCCACCAAATCTAAACAAACTCAACACCATTAGCCATTACAATTGAATATACAACACTACATAAATACTTCTTCCCTCTCATAAAAAGGTTTTTGTTCCTTTTTTTCAAAGAAAGATTGTGTTTCATATCATTTCTCTCTTCTGTATAAATCTCAAGCACAAAATTTTCATTTTATTGATAACCCGTGCCAAGTCAAAATGTGTGCCCTTTTATGGGACGGAGGGGGGCAGATTTCAACGATGTGGCAGTGCAGGTGGGGTGTACGAGACGACGAGGTAGGAGGTGCTGAACACATGGAAACAACAGCGGACGGTGGCGGCAGCTCGGTTCTCCTCCGGGTAAGAGGAGCTTAAACCAACACGAGCAATTTCTCCTGCACAAAAAATCCCGGCAATAGGGACCCCGGGGAAGTTATCCAGAAGTGGCAAACTGTCAACTTTTGCGCGTCCAAAGAATGACTCGCCGCGACCACAGCAAGTGAAAGTAAGGCCACATAAGATTGTCTTTTTGTCTCTGTTGAAGACACCACCACCACGACTTGTGTGGTCTTCGAATTCATGCTTCAGACGTCTGAGCTTTTCAGAGACAGTCTGGCAGGAAGAGAGCGCAGTATCTGAATTCGACAGGTAGAAACGAAACGTGTCTCCATTTTTTATGCCAAGATCATTGACATATAAGTACTCCTCATCCCCTCTGAGATGGAAAAGAAACATCAAGAAATGAAAGCCAAAGAAAGACGAACGAGCAGGTGGATGCAAAACATTACCTCAAGACCTCATGAAATTCCTGGAAAGTGATCCATTTCACTTTTTCCGCCCCAATGGAGCATTTTCTCTTTTTCATAACTCCAATATATAGAGCTTGGCCTTCGAAATTATCTCCTACCTGCAGAATTTCAGCTTTAAAGACAAACATTTATAACCGTCGATGATGATGGCTTTTTATTATACTACTATACAAGCACATGGTCATATAATCTCCATAAAACATTGTAAAACAAGTGAATAAGTATATTTTAGACCAAATAACCAACATACACCCACACACATGTCAAGAATGGATTGTCAAATTTAAGCAGGGATTACATGACTTGAGAGTTTTACCTTGCCAAATTTAAAAAGTTGTACATTGACCAAACCTCTTTTTTGAAAGGGGCGGAGTACTATAAAATTAGTTTGCAACAAAATATAGAAAACTGTATAGCTCCAAATGCAGCTCTCAAGTTAGAACTTGATGAAACATGAAAGAAGACTCTTATCTTATCAGATTAACTAACATTCACAAAATGCATTGCTCAAAAACTAGTAAAACATGGTGTTAGAAATTTGCTTTCTTAAGAGGAAATAATCAAATTTTACACCATGTTTGAATAAGAGCAGTAGATAGATGAACATAAAGAGGAATCTCATTATCTCATCTATAGATGAATGTGACACACCTCCATCTATCTCAGAAACTCCCACTTAATTTGTACATAAGTCAAAACATAAAAATAAATAGGGGTAGAGAAACCAAAATACACGATCCTTATCTTCAACAAACTTAGAATAATGAAACTGAGAATTATATATCATGTCAATATGAAGTGATAGTAGTAGTATGAATTCAATAAATGCAGGTTTTACTTTACGGCTTTACCTCATGCATGATATGCTCTATGAGAGCATGACCGTCAAGGTTCTCTTTATGTGCTATCCTATTAGCAGTTAACCAAGTGGTATCATCAGTCTCTCTCTCTCTTACGGAACGAGCTTTGTATGTTGGTCCATAAGGGCAAATACCATTGGAAAACAAAAAATGAAATTGAGTGTCCCCCAAACCTGGTGAATGGAGAACCAAAGATTTAAAATGGCAATAAAATCTTACAGAAAATGCACATGGCATGGATACATTAATACTCAATTGACATCTCACCAAAGAACAG